CCACCATATGGAAAGAAGTGTAAATGGATGGAGAAGCATAGTTTACTATAAAGCTACGTCTTAGTTTTGCTTACCTTGGCGAAAGCCGGGTACAAATCAGCATGAAGTTTTAACACCTACTCTCGTGTAATGGAAACCATAAGAGCAATTGCAATTATGTAATTAGGACTATTTGAAAGTTTTTGGCTCAAAGTGTGGAGCTGACAGTTCAAATTTCATAATGAGAACAAATATTCACTGACTATATTTATGTATTTCATTTCACTTTAGAGAGTGATACATTTTTTAAATTAAATAATTATATTATATCATAAAAAAACTAGTCATGTTAGGGGGAGCGCTGAGGTGAGATCGGCTGGTGAATAGAGACGTGTTCCTCACCATTTGCTTGTGCCACCGAGTGGCCACTTATGCATTTGAGAGCTGCCCAGATCAGCCCGTTCCCCCCATTATACCCTTCACTCATCCTGCCAAACACCATTTAAGCATCTTTCATTTCCTTCCCTTGTTCATCAGCAAGTTATTTTTTTTAGTGAGACCAATCATTTCACGCCGAGCTCCAGCAACTATGTCCAGCACCTTTCTGCCAAATTGCATTGAAGAATTGCCTCAAGGCATTTGGCATGGCTTAAAAACACTGCAAGAACGACAGAGAAGAGGATTAAATGGGTGTGATCTCTTCATCATTTGTATTTATATCGCTATTTGAAGGAAACTGATTTGAAACTAAGAGTGCTGATTGCTGATGATAAGTGACGTATGTGTTTGTGCAGCTCAGAGAGTTTAATGATTATGGCCAGTCAAAATCATCATGAGACATGACTGGATTCAGAGTTCCTCATCATCATACCACTAAACCACAAATAACCACTGCATGAACGGGATATTTTAAGTGTATCCTTTGATTTCCAGACTCCAAACAACAAATATTAGTCTGATTATTCCTTATTCTGTCTCTAATTTCAACTATAATTTGAATATGTTGCCTTACCTTGAAAAAATGTCTCCCCAGTCCACTGCAAAGGCTGTCCAGCATTTGTCTAGTAAACATCAGCATCTTGAAAACAAGTAATTACAGGTGAGATACACAGTACTCTATTTGTTATGTGTTTGAACTTAGTTGATTTCCATACAGGTTAACCTATTTCGGAATACTAATGTTGCATCTGTTGAAGTGCTTATAGTTACCGGTTTGGTTTTAGTGGGACAGTAATAGTTATTTTTTCCAGTTATTCCAGTTAACTTGGCACAAGAGACTTAAATATTTTATTTTTATTTATTTATACATTTATTTAACCAGGAAATCCCATTGAGATTCAGAATCTCTTTTACAAGAGAGACCTGGCCAAGGTAGCAGCCAAAACACAACACATACATAATAAACACCATATTATACATAATAAAAGTTACATTTTCATGATAAAAGAAGTTAAGAACACAATTAAGTTAAGTTAAGAACATAATGATACTCAAGAAAAACAAGAACATGTCTCCAACACAACACTCTTTACAGTAGTTTTAAATTCATTAATGGACATAAGGGTTTCTAACTTTGAAATATAGCACCTATTTGAAAATTTGTTTAAACGTTTCCGGAGATATGAGCTCCAGACAGTCAGCAGCCGTTCAGCACTCATGTACCCGCTGATCCTCAGCCAATCCGTCTGCAATTTACAGTTGGCGCTTACTGCATTTAGATCATGTTGAAACATTAGGTATAGTCCATTTTGCCCGTACCAAATGGTCAATCTTTTTAAACTATTACTTGTTCCAGAGCAAATCGATTTGGATGAGGGCAAAGTAAGTTTCATAACTGAAATGAAATCCTGTACTATAAGAGTGCTGCTTTTGTCATTTTGACTGAATTGTTTGATTGCGTTTATTTCCTATTGTACAAAAATAAAATATTATTTTATATAAATAAAATGTCATATTGACCAGCTTAGTGATTGTGATTTTGACATCAGTTAAAGTTACATTATTAGACCATTAGATGGCAACAAAGACTGTCTTTATGAGTGAGTCAGTAACAAAGACTTTTATATTGAGAGGGACTGAAACAAGGTTGTAAACAAATGCATTGTATATTATAGTCGTCATGGACAATTATACCTTAACTGTTAAAAGGACAAAGACAGACATTCAAACTGATTTTGTGATTATGAATCTAAGATTGACCTCAATAAGATCAGTCGATATCTTTCTCATAATACTCTATTCTACATAATATAATAGGTTTTTAGCTTTGTAACACATTGTAAATAATTCATAATCTTATTTACACAATCCAATCCTTTGTTTTGCCACATCTCCCTAATGAAACCTGCCTGCCATTTGATTCTGGATGAGGTTTTTGATTTAATGTTAGTTCGTGATAGACCATGGTTCTTGATTGTATTGTACAAGGGATGTGCCATTGAAACAATTCTGCTGGCCATTAAGAGATGAACCACTCTTAATCACTGTGACATCTACTGTTTTGGAGGGAGGAAACCATGTTTGGAGGAGATCGTCTTACAACGCTATCAAGTAAGTCCATGGGATCTTTATCTATCAGGCGGAAGTGCAATAAAGAGACAGGAAAAAATAAAGTGAATGAGAGAGAAATTGAGTGTGGTTAGATTGGACTGTGGCTTTATCTTCTAATGGGTCATTTAAAAATAAATATTGGGAAAAGAATGGTAAGCTTCACATAACCACATGCATAATGAGATGTGTTATGCTTTAAAATGAGATTAAGTTTCTAGTTTAAAGTATTATAAAATTGTATACAGGCCTATAGATTGATATAATAATCATGTTAAAGTACTTTGATATTGTGTTAGCACAGATAACACAATCATAGGACAATTATGACTTCTGATTCAGTTTACACTAAATGGACATAGTACTTTGGATTTTATTTTAAGATGACGGTCAGAGAGCAGAATTAACTTGTGAGCTGTCCAGATTGACCTTGGGAAGATGTGTCAGCTAAGTAGTAAAATCGAGAAGAGACATGATAAGAAATTTTATGGTGAATTGCGGAGTGTGTAACTTTTTAGAAATCAAACTACTTATCTTTGCCTGCAGGAAGAGGAATCGTATATTTAAAATGAAATTAAATTGGATTTTCTGAAGCAAAAGGTGACTTTTCTGAGTTATCACACCAGAAACATTGAAAACTTTTTAAAATGAAATCCCACTTCATTTTAACAATCTCTCTTTCATATGAATGGTTGGCTAAATCATCATTTGCCTCTTTTAAGTTCTCCTCAGCTCAATGGATGAGATAAAACTGCTGCCACTGTGTGATATAAAATATATTTCAAAATATTAAGATCTGACATTCAATTTCCACTCAAGGGAGCATGTCTCGACAAGACCTACAAATACTGTGTGTGTGTGTGGAAATTGGGGATAGTTGTGTCACACAGGCCATATCTTAGTAAGTGTCCGATACAGCCAGGTAGTAAGGCACAAGGACACAGGCTTTCCAACAAAAAAAATGGGTTTTATTTTACCCCAAAAAAGGTCCAAAATAAAGGGTACAAACAAAATCAACTTGTTCTAACAAATAATCTAGCTAGACTTAAATAAACTAAAGTAAACAAAACAAACTTTAACACAATATCTGAAGCGAAAATTCCTCCCAAATGACATGAGACAATAAGCAGGTATTTATCACCGACGGTGAGCTCACTTAAACAAGACAGGGGAATGCATACAATCAACAATTTACAAATAAATTATTTAAAAGTTAACTATTCAAAGTAAATAGAATAACAAACGAACAATATAAGAATAAAAACCAACAAAATGTTAAATAGAAATAAATTGTAACCAATCCCAAAAAATATAATTTTCATTTTCTTCACCCCCCCCTATGACATAACATCTAGTTGGTATCGGCCAGCGGAGTGCTCCGACTATAAATATTTCCTGCTGCACGAGCCTCATCCTTTTGCCAGTTAAGGCCACGATGACGGAAAGACGCACACCTGCCGCCAACGCCATTCATCCAACCTCCATGCCATGGTAACTTAATCTCAAATAGAAACAAGGGTAAGGAAACAGACATAGTACAACGCAAGCCAGTGAGTGTGCACTTCAAACCAACGGACGAAGTACTAACATTGCCTAAATAAAGCTTTTGCAAATTTGTCAAACAAAATCTGTGTGGTGATTTTATTATACCTGAACCTTAAATCCTTTACTTAACTAAACTCAAATATAACTGAATGATAAAGAGAAAGAAATTAATTATCAGTAGGCCTATGTAAATAAATGTATGTATCGCGAATGACTGTGTATCCGTTAATTTACCCTTATCAATGTGTGGCCACAGGTTGGTTTAGGCCATCACAGTAAGGTTTTGAGCCAAATGTTCAATTTCCAATTGCACAAATGTTTTCTCTAGCATTTTTTTCCCAGTCAAACATCTAGAACTACCTAATGCCTGTGATTGTAACTGAAAACTTGAACTGTGTTCTCAGTTCAGTTTTAGGTTGTGGCATGTTGTCACATGTTTTAAATCTGCATAGCTACATACATTTTACATAAATTTATTAATACCATTTTTGGCATATTAATGACAAATATGGTTGTATGATAGATCTTTTACAATTGTGTGTACTGTTTAAATATAATGGCTAATGGCAGGATCTATTGACCATTGGCAACTTGCCCCTAATGTGATGCAGTACGGGTTAGCGTACTGCATCTGCAATTTACGTTTCAGCCTTCTTAGTAATTGTGTTTATGTATTTTTATTATAGGACTCTTTAAAAAGATGACTTCATATCAAATATGATTATTTTATTCATTGAAATCGGTAGGCAATCATCTTTGCTGGACTGATATACACAAAATGCAATATTATCCACCTAGTGGTTTGTATCAGTAGTAAACAGTGAGCACAGTCAAAATTTGATCCCGGTGAGAGGTGCGCTTCTAGTAGATCCTGTCATCCCACTGTAGCGGTCCATTCAGGACTGTGTGTGTAGCCTATTTGTAATACAAAATCCACATGAAAAGGTGCCTAAATCATCATCAGTCCACCTATCTCAGGATCGTTTCATTACGCGATACGTTAAAACGGGAAAGATAACCCGTGCCATTGCACGCTCTCGCGTTACATTTCCCCGTTCATTTAACCACAAGGAGTGAGGAGTCAAGAACCAGTTTGAGCGTAGAATAATTCGAGGCGCGCGCTATTGGCTCCCCGTCCTCATCTGTCAATCTGCGGAGGCGGGACTCTGTGATCGCGTTCGCAGGAGGCGAGAGATGCACGAGCTGTACTTTTCTACTGTGTTGGAGCGCTTCGCACTTCCCGAGCTCAGTCCGAGCGTCAAGTGAACGGTGTGCGGAAAGCGCAGTTGGACTTCAACCGAGGAGAAGTTATTGAAGGAGCCTGTTGTATTGATTGCAGCAGCCTGCACCTGGATAAGCATCACAATCAGCGCGCGGAGAAGCGAAAGAGCGAAGAAAGTGTGTTTCGGGCAGCTGTTACAGAAGGAAGGCAATATGATGGTGAAGCAGCATGTGCTGTTTACCCTGTACAGCATCTGCGGGATCATCCTTAAAGGTAAGAGCGCTTCAAACTTTAAGCAGCCTATGCAGTGCATTGCAATTTGGGGGGGATCATCATCATTAGCCTACGCACCATGTAGGAATGGCATTATGCTCTGGAATGATAATGATGATGATGATTTGTATTTCCATAATATTTCCAAAGCGCTCCGAGTGAATGCGGGAACAGTTTCCCGTTAGTCATCATTGTTCTGGTGGAACTGAACGGTGCACGTTTGGCCAGCACTGATACAGAATCTTATCACGGATAAGCCTGCACACACTGCTGAGCTAGACCCCCGCTTTATGGATTACAAGTCAAAGTGTGTTATTGCCAAACTTTAAATAAACGCATGGTGTTTATTGTATTTTAAAACTATATGTGTGTGCTTATATGCGTATTCAGGCACATTTGTAGCCTATTGCTTGGAAATGCGACGTGTCTCTTAGTGGCATGTTATAACATCTGGTGCATTTTTATATTTTGTATTACAGGCTGTAGTTTGTGGTGCATTTTGAGGTAGCCTACACTGTTTTATGGATGTGTTATGAGGCTTTCTCAGCCCTGAAACGTGGTCGTTTATTAGCTATGCTTTGTTGGTTAGAAAAGCCCTATTTCGAACGGAGCGTGAAGCTAATGGATTAAGTGATTTTTTTAGCACCCATAATCAGGTTTTGGTGTGTTTTTTGCGACAAAAAAAATGGATGAATGGTATTTGCGGCAATCCGCATCTTGGGGTCGTAGTAGCATCAGCTTTTTTTTTCCTCTCAGAGAAAGAGTTGCGGAGCAAGTGGGCTACACCTGTCAGTTTACATCTGTTAGTGTAATGCTTTATTCACTCATATTTTCAAACTGTAAAATTGACATTACGCCACATCAGAAGATCATAAAGACACATCTGCATTTCTGGGTTGTTTACCTCAAGTCTTGTAGTTTCGGCTGGTGGGCTCTTCATCATTCACGCGCGACACTGTAAACAGGATCAGTAGGGCAAGGTCGAGAGACGTATTCGCGCGGGGTGACCGTGTGACAGGAATACTTGATGAATACGTCAATTGAACGTGCCTATTGCTTTTAGGCGCACTGGAAGGTAGTATATGCTTTTAATTGAGGGTTTATAGGTTAGTTTATGACTCAGCATGATGGGTTCAGTGTGTGACTGCTCATATGGGAGTATTTGTTTTGAGAGTAGGTTACGCCGTCCCGCCAATATAGTGAGCAGCAGCCACCGCCCGGTTTCTATGAAGATCATTTAATCCATGAATAACCTCAGATATTGTCTTGAAGTTGATGTAGGTAACAACCATTTGTGTTCACGTCAACCTCACTGTGACTCTTAACATACCCCCCCCTCCCCTTTTTTTTTTTTTTTTTTTTTTTTTTTTTTTTTTTTTTAAAGTGGTGAGCTATGGTTTCGACGCAGCCTCGTTTTATAAATTTCAATAATAGCCAAATGGTGATTTCAGGATGATTGGGACCGTTTTTTTCAATTAACATCAAGGGCAAAATTCTCCAAATCACCCTGAATTCACCCCAACTGATAGCTTTTGTAATATTTGCAGTGTTAGAATTTACAATAATCTTATATTGTTGGTTTATTAAATAGTATTTTTGTTTGTAGAACGATAGCGCAGTTGACTCTGCAAAATCTCATGAAATAAAATACGTCAATTCAATTCAAGCAAGTGCTCTGAAAAAACAAAGACTCCTTGACCTCTAGAGATGCTTCCCCATGTGTTAGATCCATCACAAGCTCATAATGTCAAAACTTGTGTATTGGCTTGGTCTTGATATCAGTGAAACATGACTCTTCCAGCCAGAGGTGTTTACATCTCAAACAGTCTGACTTGCAGATCTGGCAGTTTGCGAATGCATGATGAATGCAAGAGTGACAGAGAAAAAAAGCCAGTATTTCCATTCGCCCTTCTGTATACATGTGTGTGGCTTCCCTCCTCTGCCCCGTCTTTTGACAAAATACCCTATGCTGTGTGTTGATAATCAGTCTGAGGGGTGGGCCATTAATAATCAGAGATAATTAAGCACATTCCTCAAGGCTTCACTTCTAATGAGTCGGCAGCAAGCGTGAGACTGAAGCAATGTATTGATTTCCCCCAGCCTTCTCCCTCTCTGCCTGTAAATCACAGAGCCTGTGTCTCTCACCCAGTCAACAGCCCTACTGGCTGCAAGTGCCTCTTTCGGTTCTTTAACACACCTCTGAGAGTCTGGCTGCATCTGCTTACCATGTGGGAGCGTGTTAATAGGCTTAATAAAGTGCGGCAGCATGCTGATTTTTAAACGACGGAGGTCAGAGGGTTCTGGTAGCCCTGTCTGTTCAGCAATTGGTGATCAATAGGTCTGATCATTTTGATTTCAGTGGTACATTGATTGATTGTCTCGCAGTCACAACATATAATTTTCTGATTTACCCACAAACCACTTTGACTTGCTGAATTTGTTTGAAAATTGAAGCGTTAATCATGTATGTGAAATGTTGATTCAGATAAATGGATGGTTGATTAGGTGTTTCCTGTAGGATGAGTTAATTGTATAGGAAATATCAGATAATTGTGATTTCCAGGCTTGACATACATTTCTATATTTCATTTTCTTTAGGGTACTATTTTTTTCCATTGTAATTAAAGTACTTTAAATACAATGAAAAGGTATCTAAAGTATCTATCTTTGAAGATAAAAAAATCAGACTTCATGAGAGTCAGAGTATCTTTATTTGTCTCCTCAAGGAGAAATTAGTTTTTTAATAGAGAGATTGCTACAGTTAAAGGCAGACAGTATGTGAAACATTACGGCTACTCAGAGAACTGTGCAAAATAGCAAATCACCAGTTTCTAAAATTCTGCTAATGCAAAAGTGATATCACAATATACAGTATACAATATAAGGCTATACAAAGTTAAAAGACAAATAGTAGAATATTCAAGCTACCTGAAAAGCTGTGCAAATTGCAAATGACCATTTTCTAAAATCAACTTGTGCATAATTAAAATCCAGCATTATATAACATTTCATCAGGGATATACCATGCATTAATAAATTCATAGTCACATGTTCACATGAATGATTCATCATGTAAGATTCTAGTAATTTATAGTTATGGTATGCTTACTGTAACTATTTTATTGCCCATGAATCTCTATGAAATTGAAAATACCTTTCATGCAATTTCTTTTTTTTAAAAAAATGGAAATGATGGAAATCGTGGAAGTTTATTGGTCAAAGATCCCTGCCTAAAATGAATATAAATGTATTTTAACCCACTTTTACCATACTTCTATCCCCATTATGTCATATTGAGAAACTAAATGTCGCAGCTTTATCGTACTGGCTATTTGAACTTGCGAAAAGTGTCTGATTTAAAAAAAAATAGTGAAAAACGAACACAACTTAAACCTAAAATACATTTTCCCTTACACAAAATGTTACACATGAAACCCAAACAAAGTATTATTGGTCAACTAACTACCCATTTCTTGACTGCATTTTCCACTGTTCTCAGTGGCCATCTGCAGTGGGCATGAAATCCCAGCTGCCTTTTATGTGATGGCCATCGATTACTCTTAAAGCCATGCCAGTCTTCCTCACTAAGGTTGAATGTTTGAAGCACAAGTGCACATCCCTGGCACATCCGTTCATAGGGATCTCTGCATGCTGCCGGCAGCTGGGGGTTTGGAGGAGCATGGCAGTTATGCAAAGCATGTGGCAAACCGTGCAGCTCCTCCCTGTGTGTGAGTACTATAGCCCATGTGAAGTGCTGTTGTGTGGACGTCTGCTGTGAGTAATAGCAAAGCTTGGCTCCCTCCTCAGAGACACCAGAACTGAGTGGGAGGACTATGTGGTCCTGCTTCATAGAGGATACACTTCTTTATACTTGTTTCTCTTTTGTGGGTACATTCCCTCTTGATGGACTGCTTGTGTAGACAATCTTTCATCCTCTTTCTGTCTTTCTTGGCTTCGACAATCCTGTGCTCCGAAACTTCTCATGCAAAGCATACACAAATTTCGAAAGCCAACACAGGCGGCTAGGGAAAACAAAAAAGATCAATTTTAAGGGTGAAAAACATTATTTATGAGACAAAATGCTTCTTTCATACCTCATTGAGTGGTCTATTGTGCATTGAGGCAAGTCTCTGGCCCCCTGCCTCTCAGCCAGCTTATCCCAACAGAGTGACTCCAGCATTGGCCTTCCCAGACCTGGCACTTTGGAAGTAGCGTGAGAAAGCACTCATTTAAGAGAGGGCTGGTGTGTATGTGTGTGTATATATATGCAGTCGTGTTTATGTTGAAAGTTGAGGTTAATGACCCTTTTTCATTCCTGGTGTGTTGTCTTTGTCAGTCGTGGAGCGTGAAAAGCATCTGTGCAGGTGAGCGGCAGCACAGGCAAATGTGCTCAGACAGGTGAGAAATGGAGTCGGGCGTAAGCTGCCATTTCTGCTGACTAGAATAAGTATTTGTTTGGCATTAATTTAGCAGGGGATCAACACAGATTGCACAAGCCTCTTTTTTTGCACTACGGAGCTCCTCCTATGGCCCATTCTGTCATGTGCGTGTGGTATCATTGCAGTTCAAGTCTCTTTCTCTCGTTTCTTTAGAGGCTGAGCGTGTCCCTCTTTCTCACTGTGTTGCGTATGTGGGTGTTTGTTTGGCTGGCTGATTGAGCCAGGATGGAGAACAGGATTAGAAGTGAATATCCTCCTCTTCTTTGTATTTGTCCTCTGGTTGAGTTGCTGGAAGCCTCCTAAACAGAGCACCCAAGATATATGCGCTCTCACTCTCAGTTTCTCCATCTTTCCGTTTCATGTCTCTGTCTTTCTCCTCCTCCATCCTGCTGTCTCATCTCCCTCTTTCTCTCTCTCTATCTTGCTCTTAGTCTGCATACAAGCATCTAGGCCTGGAGCGTTTCCCCCAGACTCAGAATGGAGCTAAGCCGCTGAAGCCCTGCTGTAATCGTGAGGGATTTCCCGTGATCAAAGGCCCTCTTTTGTTCTTCCAGGTGTTTG